TCGATAATCGCCGAGACCTCGACTCATCAGTGCTTCGAAGTTTATGAGATTTAACAGCAGCCAAGGTGCAAACGTCACGGCGGCCGCGACGATAAGATAAGGCCATTCGCGTCGTAAAACAGTTTAAGCCGCACGTCACCGGTGATTCAATTTTCCATCGATGCGGAAAAAAAAAAAATATTCGAGCTGCTCCGAACGACGCGATTTTCGAAGGATTTTTTCTCTAAATAGAACCTTGGTCCTTTGCTTTTGAATTTTTCTATGCGTTGGAAAATAATAATTCTCGCCTTTTGGGCGGGGAAAATGCAAATGGAAACAATTCAAAATATTATTTGCCATTCTGAAAATTACTGTCGAAATTACTATTTGCTTCGTTTATTATGAGATATTAACAACACCAGTGGGTGAGATTTTGCAATCTGTTAATCGGTTCTCCGATCGAGCACTCGCGTCGCGGAGAAATCGGAAGCGCTGTTTTCGATCGTCGGGCACATCCGGTAATGCTCGGCGCTAGAAACGTCGTAGCTCGAAAAAAGATTCCATCGCGACTTATCGAAGGAAACCGGGGGTTTTTTAAACTCGTTTCTTGACCTCGACCGAGTATGTTCGAACGGCCGTTATCACGACAACGTATTAGCGATAATGCGACTGAATAATCGTAATCGATGTTATCTGGTCGATTAATCGGCCGAGATAAATTCGAAATCGATTCGGGGACGAACCAGTTCCGCGGTCTACCGTACCAATTATTTATTAAACGCGCCTTCGCTTTTACCGAATAATGAATTGGAAATTAATAAGTAAGCCTCTTCGATGTATTATTTATTAGCGCAATAATGTATATCCGATTTAAAAGTAATTTTTAATTTTGTACGTTCGACGAGGAATTTAATAGTTTTTAAGGAATCTCCCTCTCTTTTAGTCGATATTCGACGAGTCTTGTAATCCTTGGTTGCTCTCGTTTTTCTCAGAAGCAATCTCCATCGGGCATCGAATTACCTAGTTTTTCTGCTTGTTTCGTTCGCTTCTCGATGTCCAATCTGTGAATGGTAACAAAATCTATTGACAAGTTGTAATATCGATTGCATTAATAACCTGCGAGGGAAACACGATCTGGGGAAACTGTTAATAAATTAACTGCTATAAATAGATTGTACGTATTGCGATACATTTTCTTGCGGTTCGTTTTAATGTTAAAAATTTGCAAAATTACAATTTTGCGACGAGAAGAAGAAGATTTAAAAATTCTTAACACTAGATTTACTCATGCCATTGCATCAATGAAATTCAACATAAGTTGTTAAAAAATAATATTCACGCGTTCTGCAATTTTAATCCAAAGTAAAATCCAAAGTAAAATGGACGTTTCCAACGTGATCCGTATTTTCAATCGACTACGTGATTCACAATTTCATCGATAAGAAACTGTTTACTATTGCATTATCAATGATTTTCTGTTTCATAGGAAAGGCTATCGCTATCTCGAGTAATGCAATTTGCAAGGTTCGTCTTATCGAGAGACGTTATGTACTTCGTGATGAACGGTAGTTGACTCCGAGGTTAGCTGGAGTATCACTTACAGAGATTGACTAGCAGAGGTTAACTGACTCGTTTACGGATTTGGTCGTTTGGTGTGGAACGAAATATCTATATCTATACTATTTGTATAAAGAGAGAGCCGATTTTTATGTTCGCGCAAAACTCAAGACCTATTGAACCGATCTTCCTAAAATTTTGACACGTTATTCCTGCATACTCTAGGACGGACATAGGCTATGTAGCATGTCTCAGAAGCGCGTTATTAACATGTAATTTATATGCAAAGATTTCATGTGTACGACTGTTTGGCAGACCACGTGACCCCTGTATACGACAGTCTACTTGCGCGCGCATCCGCGTATTCGGCCCGCGCGATACCTCGCTCGTAGCAGTACTGCGATGTTACCGCCAGGTGGCGAAGCTTCTCGAGCGCTTTCTCGCGGGAGAATTGCATTACCGCGGATATATTTGTCAGGACGATCGTCTGGTCATAAATTCCTTTTGCACAAGGTCGGGCGAAGCTGAGACGGGGCATTCTAGTATTTTATACAATACAGTTCGAGACCACTGCACAATTCATAATAGCGAGAACCAGTTAACGCAACGCTTTTCGTATAATTCTTGGTCCGATGCAATGAAATACAAATTTTATTTTAAATTCAAAATACATTTTCAGTTACTCTCTGTCTGTTTTCCGATTAAACCGATTAATCGGGGCCCTCCGTGCTTTCTTTTACGGGAAAATACGATTCTAATAGTTCCGTTTAATCAACCGTCGCAATTGAAACACATCGTTGGTCGATCCATTTCGCGGGTCGCTTCTCTCCCCGACGTTCAATAATCTATCAATTCTCTGTGTTGGCCGGAATCGTGGATGTTGCAATACCATCGAGTATCTTATTAGTCCATTTCTTTGTCCGCCATGTTGGTTCCCAGGATCACAAGAAATAATCCTCTCGGTGAATTCTGTGTAAAAAATACTGGAACTATGAAAGAAGAATCCGCTATTGTATTTCAGAAGTGGAAGCGTGGACTTACAATTAGATTGCTAAACTTGGCCGTCGACTCGGTGCTTTTCAGTCGGGCTGTCTGACAATTAGGGGCGTTGACCAGTTCGTCCTGAGAGAGGGCAACAGGGTGACAACCGGCCTAGAATCTGCGTCGCGACTGTTTGCGTGGTGAATATCAACAAGATCGCCTTAATAACTGAGTACCCCCACAAACGACGATCAATGAAAGTGTTTTAACATAGACGTATATAGACTTTTTTAGGCTTACAATATTTTTAGAGCCTTCCAATTAATCGTTGAATCTATTTCCAATGATTTTCGATTCAGAGTTATCGACTGTTCGTTCCATTTGAGACGTTTGATGCTGTGGGGGTCACCGGTGACCGACACTCAATTTGGCTCACAATATTCAACGACGCCATTGTTAGAGTAATGGGGGATACAAATACACATTTATCAGGAATCTGTGATAGAATTTTTATTCTTGGAAGGTTGCACCCTGCGTGCAATTCCGACCGGGCGTCGTAAGACTTCCGGTTGCTTATATAGTCGAGGAAAAGTCAACATTTTTCATCGATTATCGATATAACAGAATTTTTCGCCGAGAGGCGTGTTTCTCGCTTGGAAATTCGCGGCGGTGGAATTTAATATGACTTCTCGAAAAATCATCGGCGCATGAGTGAAGTCGCGCGTATCGAGTTCTGTCTTGGGAAATGAATCATATCGTGGAGGAATCGGAACACAATATCGGAGGATTTGGTATCCTTAATAGCCTGTCAGTGCACGCTGATAGCGTAAAATATATTCGTCTCTTAAGTCCCCGCGTAAGTGCAAATCATTATATTTCATCATCGATCTGGACTCTTGGAATTTCGTGTATTTTAACCCTTTTAGAGCCAATTTGACGAGTTTGTTATGGTCAGAGAAAAAGCTCGTAAAAACCAAACTAAGAATGGTATTTATAAAATTCAAAAAGCAGCATATTACGAAATAAAGAAAGAATGAAGTAACGGCAATTGCATTTCAATATTTATTGCAAATCATATAAATAACATAATTATAAAAGTATAAGCATTTGATTTTCAATGATTTTTTAATAAATAATAAATTCTTTGTTAAAAAGTTATTAACGTTTAAAGTGGAGCTCGTACTGAATTTTTTTGTCGAAACTGAGTAGGATTTCGGGGGTATGTGTGATGACCAAAAATGATTGTAATTGCCCCCCGTAACCGAAAATATTTTTTTCAGAACGATTTGAAATTTTTTTTTCCATCGAAAAATTTCACACCTTCTCGAATTTTTTTCTAGAAATTGAGTAGGATTTCGAAGATATGTCTATTCACAAAAAATGCTTGTAATTGACCCTTGTAACTAAATATAATTTTTTTGGTATGATTTGAAATTTTTTAATTTTCCGAAAAATTTGCCCACCTTGCTGAATTTTTTTCTCGAAACTGCGTAGGATTTCGAGGGTATGTGTAATGACCTAAAATGATTGTAATTGATCCCCGCAACCGAAGATAATTTTTCCAGAACGGTTTGAAATTTTTTAATTTAATTGTTAATAACTTTTTGACGAGGTCTCAGTCGAGAAACTGATATTCTTAATTTTCGTCTTATTTTGGCCTCTATCAACGTAAATTACGCGTTACGCTGGCTGGAGAGCGACATACGGGGGAATAATAGGCAATTGGAATTTTCATTAACAGTTTACAAGTAATATTATATAACCGATCAATTTTTATATCCGACGCCATTGATTCTTAATGTTTCACCGATAAGCGCATTTGTTTGACAATGTTCATGCAAATCCAGGATCGGTATTGCAATTACTGCCATTCTTTACGTCAGGCTCGATTTATGCAACGCTTTTGCATATCGTAACAATTGAATCCCAGCATCCGTATTTTCGAATTAATCGCGGTTTCTATTATTCTATTTCGTTTCGTAAATATTCGTTGCGCGAAGCGCGGATCTGATACGGCGTGGTCGCTTGATAAATTCTTGTGCAATAAACCAACGCACCGAGCCGGAACAGGATTTCGTTTGAAATGTTATTCTAAACGTACATTAATTTTACGTTGAAATTTACAGTTCGAATCGAATCAGGTGCTCTTTCTCGACGAAAAAGATCCATCTTAATACACGTGCATAATCATACGAAGATCAAGACGAGCGAATTGCGTCACGGTATTATCTCGGATGAAGTTATATGGATTTATTGATCGTTAAATTTCTACAAAATTGGACCATAAAAGACCCACGACGAGTGTTATCAGCGAGCTTGATACACTCAGCGACTCTAATGAAACACTTATGAAGTTATAAATAAAACACATTTTCTCCTTAGGATGATTCTTCTTTATTTTAATAAATAAAAATTAAGTACGAATGTTGCAAGAAAATTTCTTGAACTTTTGCAGAAGCTAAATAGAATTCTTTAATTTTCAGGACGCTCGAGATCCTCGCAAAATGGCGGCCGGGGACGTCCGGTCCCTCTGCCTCGCCGCGGTTCAGATTACACATTAATTACATGTAAGTCGATACACACGTAATTTATCCAATACATAGTGTAAGTACCGGAAGTGGGGGGTAGCTGAGACGATTCTGAACAACAATTTCCTTTGCAAAAATGTCGGATGGGGCTTCGTTTTTGAATTGTTAACGCGTGTGAGGTCATCGCCTCCCATACTCGCCGCCAGAGGGCTACGCTCTTGTCTCTCTCTCTCGCAAGCGCTCGACTGCTCAATAGCCTTACTGATGAGACCACTAGAAGCATCTGGACACGAAAAGCTCTCCTCTCCTCTTCGACAGGACCTCTCCACACGCATATAAGAATAAATTTGCAAGAAAACGATCGAGATAATACCGCGAATATCTCTAAACTTGAACTACACTTTCATCGCGTTGACGCAACAATGGGTGTGCTCCTCGTCTATAATTACGCGCAAACAGATCAATTATTATTTCCCGCGCGACGAGTGTGTGCTCCCCGACTAATTAGGAGCGAAACAGTTGTAACAGTTCCAGGCTTTCTTGCGCGGCACGATCAAGCGAGGGTAATTACGGGGATTTATCAGCCGTGACAAATCTGACGAGGATTACAGACAGCCGCGATTAATCGGACGGACTCGTAACCGTGGAAATATTCTCGGTACAATTTCCACGGGGTTCGCGGGTCCGTTACGTTGCCTGCTCCCAGACAAACGAGCAACAATGGGGCCTTCTTGTTCGTATGAATAATTCGCGGCGCGCGGCGTTTTGCAATCGCAATCGCGGCGACAAAACCAGCGTTCTCCTGGCACACAATGCCCCCCACACTCGTCAGACTTCGAACGAGACGCCCGTTATTACCGTGCGCGGGAAAAGAAGCGAAAGTGATGAAATTATGAATGCCCCGGGGGAATTCCTGATGAGAGAAGGGGGGAGGAAAAAAAGACATGAATTATCCACGCGGGAGGCTCAAATCGCGTGCCATTACCCTTGAAAAAGTGCATCAACGAGGCTTCTGTCATTGTCTGCGCAACAATGTTATTGTTCTGGCTTGGAAACAATTTTTCGCTATTCGACGGTCTTCTATTTACGATACAAACTTCGTATATGCTGTGATACCAAAAGTAGAACTTTGTCTTGTGAGAAGGGGGCCTTACGATCGTGGAAATTGCTTTTGAAAAGATAGCAGGTGCAAATTATAGTAACCATAATAAGTTTTCTCACGATGAGTTCGTGTTTTCGAAATTTTTGATTCAAAGTTTCCTACGTTTACAATTAAGAAATTACTCCTTAATCTACGTAATAAGATTTGGTTGAGTCGACAGAGCGAGTAACTATGAATCTTTAGGTAGTGGGTTCGAATCCCCGTCGAGTTACTTTGGTTTTTTATCATTACTGTGAAATGTAAAGATGTATTTTATTTATTAAATAAAGTCTATTTCCAAGGTTCAAATCAAATTTGAGTCGATTGAAATTTTTCTAAGGAATGGAATATTTCAAAATTGATTTTCGATCGTAAGTTACTCGACGCTGAGATTCGCAGCGATTTTAAATCACCGCGGAAGCAGTTGGTCGGGGTCTGACGGTTCTGCGCTCGCAACGTCAGTTTCAGAGTCAACATTGACGATAGCAATTTATGATATTTGCCGGGAACGACTGCGCTCGCGATGATAAACCGATCCCCGAGCCGTGCTTTGTACACCGGGGTTTTATGCATGATCGATGGGATCGCGAAGCAGCTAGCAGCCGGCTGACGGGGCGTTGCAATTCCGCTGAATCGACTTCGGGGGGAGGGGGGTTCCTGTGCAAGAGTATCGATATCGAGGCGGCATCGTGTGTCGTTACGCTGAATCGTCGGTGCGAAATCGGGCGACGGAAAGGTGTTCGATCAAATCGAACGTAACAATTATGTAACTGCAACCGCTGTTTTTGCTAGGCGAAGGGAAAGAAGAAAGATCGTAAGAAGGTGGAAATGAAACTCATCCAAGTAAAAGCTTCCCAGCAAAAAATGTTAATGGTAGATTCTAGAGCCCAAAATAAGACAAAAATCAAGAATACCAATTTGTTAATGGAGGCTTCGTTAAAAAGTTATTAACGTTTACAGTTCCGCCAGTTTTTAATTTTTTTCTCGAAAATGCGCAAGATTTCGTGGGTATGTCTATTTACCAAAAATGATTGTAATTGTCCCCCGCGATCGAAAATAATTTTTCCAGAACGATTTGAAATTTTTTTTTTTTGACGTAAAATTTCACAGCTTCACGAATTTTTTTCTCGAAACAGCGTAGGATTTCGAAGATATGTCTATTCACCAAAAATGCTTGTAATTGACCCTTGTAACTAAATATAATTTTTTTGATAGGATTTGAAATTTTTTAATTTTCTGAAAAATTTGCCCACCATCTTCAATTTTTTTCTCGAAACTGCGTAGGATTTCTGGAATATGTGTAATGACCAAAAATGCTTATAATGGACCCTTGTAACTAAATATAATTTTTTTGGTATGATTCGAAAATTTTTAATTATCCAAAAAATTTGTCCATCTTCTTGAATTTTTTTCTCGAAACAGCGTAGGATTTCGAAAATATGTCTATTCACCAAAAATGCTTGTAATTGACCCTTGTAACTAAATATAATTTTTTTGGTATGATTTGAAATTGTTAATTTTCTGAAAAATTTGCCCAACTTACAGAATTTTTTTCTCGAAACTGCGTAGGAATTCGAAGATATGTCTATTCACCAAAAATGCTTGTAATTGGCCCTTGTAACTAAATATAATTTTTTTGGTATGATTTGTAATTTTTAAATTTTCTGATAAACTTACCCACCTTGCTGAATTTTTTTCTCGAAACTGCGTAGGATTTCGGGGGTATGTGTAATGACCAAAAATGATTGTAATTGCCTCTTATAACCCAACATAATTTTTCCAAAACTATTTGAAATTTTTTTTTTTCGTCGAAAAATTCCACACATTCTCGAATTTTTTTCTAGAAAGTGGGTAGGATTTCGGGGGTATGTCTATTCACCAAAATAGCTTGTAATTGACCCCCGCAACCGAAAATAATTTTTCCAGACCGATTTGAAATTTTTGAATTTAATTGTTAATAACTTTTTAACGAAGCCTCAGTTAAGAAATTGATATTCTTAATTTTCGTCTTACTTTGACTTCTAGAATCCCTCAATAAATTTTTCCCAGGGGTGACCGATCACTCTGTATAGAAACGGAGGAGTCAGTCGAGCGTTTGCGAGAAAAACTAAAGCGTAGCCCTCTGGTGGCGAATATAGAAGGTGACATCAAATGAATCTCGTTTATGCGTTTCGATCAGCAAAGATTCGACTGTAACACTAGAACTATCAACCATTAATAGACACTCGAAGAAATGTATAATGCAATAGGGAATAAATGTTATAAAAAAACCACGGTTGCAAAAACCCGAGTCGTGTAAATTTTTCACCGATAGTTCTACTGTTAACGACAGCGAAATGATTGCGGAAATATTAAAAGTGTACGTTTTTTATATATATCGGAGTGTACATTTCGAGCCTGAGTGACTACTCGAAAAGCAAACAATTAAATACTGTTGATCGAAGTTGTGTGTCACCGTGCACGGTGAAACAACTCCGTGAAATCACGGTGGAAAAATTCACCGGCGTGCTTTCCAGCGTTTACCGCGGGCAAACAATCAAACCGGGACGTCGCCGTTCAGTGGCAAATAAACTAAGAGAGCGTAATGGGACATCGTTGTTGAAAAAGGCGAAGCAAGGCCGTGGCTCGTCATTGAATAATTGGACAGCGGTATCTGCAACAGTACCGATATTCGTATTCATAGTCGTGCTTCTCTGGTACATACAATGCTCTTCATGAAATAATGGCTCGAAACGATTTCAAGCTTGAGTCTCTACGCCCCAACAACAACACTCCCTCGGATACTAGAACGTAACAACCGACGCCATTTAAAAAATTCAGGATGCTCTCGACTAATTCGAAATACCTAATCATAATAATAATACCAGCAGCTAAAACTTAATATTTCATTACGCTATTCTGCTCGAACGACGTATCATAAATTAAATTCATCTAATCTTCTACTTTCATTTCTCAAGTTTATTATCGCTCGTAAATACTACGGTAAATCGTGTTTAAAGAATTATTTCTCACCGTGAAACATTTTTACTTTATCCGCGAAGTTCGAGCGGAACTTTTAAAGTTCTTCCTGGCGCGAGTTTAAAATTTAAAGTTCTCCGCGGCGCGTCCGATTAGAGTGGACGGAGGAAATTTTCCGTGGAATTGAAAACCCGGAAACCCCTTCGGGGGAGTTAGAGGGGGGGAAATCGTCGGGGCAGTCTCGATGAAATCGTTTTCGAAGTTTCGTCCGGTAAAGCGAGGATCGCTAGCATCGTCCAACGACCTAACGACGCTCGTGGATCAAATAATCCGGAAAATAACACGTGGTTTTCCGTCTTCGCGGGGAAACTGTTTCCGGTGAAAAGTACCGTGGCTAATGGAAAACCGATCGAACTCTTTCTAGTGGCATCGATTGCATTTGGGGACAGATTTGAGAGGAAAAGCTCTTCGATAAAAGTGCAGTCTCGATCTTTTAACGCGAATCAATCTGTCCTCACTAGTGTGTTGAATTTTAGAAATTTTCATTCTGTTATCGGTCGACTGCGGATGTTTATGCATTTATGGGGAATTTCAATTCTCGAGAAACTACGAAATGCACTTAATATGCAAAAATATAAGAAATACTTAAAGATACGAATTATTATATTTAAGGGTCGAGACAATCATCTACAAACCTCCCATTTTATTAATTCTATTAATAAAAATATGAATTTGCATAAAGATACGCAGTCTAGTTATCGGTGTCGAAGTTTTATAAATATTCAGAGTTCAGAAAATTTTATTTTGAATTTTGTGATGAAAAGTATCGAAGTATAGAGGTTTGGGTTAGGTCTGAATATAAATATTCAGAGTTCAGAAAATTTTATTTCGAACTTGGTGATGAAAAGTATCGAAGTATAGAGGTTTAGGTTAGGTCTGG